GAAAAGAAAAAAGTATGGTTCATTGACATTGCAATACCTGGTGATGCACGGATTGAAGATAAGCAGCAAGAAAAAATCACAAAGTACCAGGACTTGCAAATTGAAGTTGAGCGACTGTGGAAAAAGAAATCGTGTGTTGTCCCGATTGTAATTGGAGTCCTTGGAGCAATACCCAAAGAGCTACCCCGCTATTTAGAAATTCTAAATTTACCGGACCTGAACATTTTGACTTTACAAAAAAACCACCTTACTCGGAACAGCTTACATCCTCCGACGATACCTTAACAGTTCCTAGGTCCTTGGTTAGGACTCGAGCTACTGAGCTATTAACCAGCCTCAAAGGCTGTGAATCTCACTAAAGATTAACCAATAATAATAAATCCTAGAATGTGCCGAGATGGATAAATTAACAAAAGAGCTCAAAGAAAAGGAAGATACGGAATATTATATAATCTCTTTTGTTTTTTTAATTCTAACGTTAGTCTATCCATTTCTGCGCATACTAACATCTTCCTTATTATCTTATTATCTTTTACTTTGGTTTTTATGGCGGATGAAATGCCAGGACGGTCACACTGTGTTTGATATATTTATATGTAAATAATACAAATATATTTTTAAAAAAAGAAAATAAGAAGAAGTGGAGAAAACTGATTCAGTTTTTTTGGGGGGTACAACAGTCTCATATAAATCAGGGATGGGCAATTCTGGGAGTAGAAGTCTGCAAGTTGTAAAGTTGCTGTAGTTGCTCCTCCCCGGGTATAAATACCATGTTTCCCCGAAAATAAGACTGGGTCTTATATTAATTTTTGCTCCAAAAGACGCATTAGGGTTTATTTTCTGGTTAGGTCTTATTTTTTGGGGGGGGGAAATACGGTATTAAATACATCCATCTGGCTGGCAATCTTAACTAGGGCTTATTTTGGGGGTACATCCTGAAAAATCATGCTAGGGTTTATTTTCCAGTTGGGTCTTATTTTCAGGGAAACAGGGTACTTTAACCCTCTGATAACTATATGTGGACTAAGAGCCGAGGTGGCGCAGTGGTTAGAGTGCAGCTACTGCAGCTACTTCTGCTGACTGCTAGTTCAGCAGATCAGCGGATCAAATCTCACCGGCTCAGGGTTGACTCAGCCTTCCATCCTTCCGAGGTGGGTAAAATGAGGACCCAGATTGTTGGAGGCAATATGCTATTTAGTATACTGTCTTTGGTGTAAGCCACCCAGAGTCCTCGGAGAGTGGGCAGCATATAAATATGAATAATAAAATAAAAATAAAATAAAATAAAAAGATTGCTAATCTCTGACTTAGTTTCCCCAAGAGAGGAAGAAATGAGTATTAAATCAGGTACATGTAATCAAAGTACAGAGGTGTTGTAAGCTCCTGTTACCTGAATCTAATCCAGCCTGGGTTTGATATCTCCACTTGTCAACTGTAAAGCAATCTAATAAGTGCTAATGAAATATTTATTGGCTTTTAAAAAAGTAATCAGGATAATGCGACAGAGAGCTCCGAGGCGGAAACTCATGGAAGTAAAGGAAAAAAAGGCGAAAATAAATGTTTTCATCCATGCAAATGTGCGTGGATGATCTGAACTGCCTTTTCTTCTGACAACCCACCAAAGTACCCTGCTAGATTGATTAACTCTCTCTGTAGTTTTGATGGGTGTGTGGGGAGGGCTGCCAACTTTTCATTTGATCCCGGTAGTTGCGCCCTGCGCAAAAGGCGAAGTTTGTAAAAAAAAAGGTACGTGAGAGTGGCTTTTATTGATCAGGAAAAAAAAAATCTCTTGGACCGATTGCTTTCGCTGGACTTGCTTTCTGAAGGCAGCGGAAGCACTGCAGAATTATTACAGATTGATCCTTGACTTACGACGCTAACGGAGCCTGCCCATTGCAGTCAGAAGTTGGGAGAGTTGTAAAGCAGATATTCACTGGCATGAATACCTGATTCATAATAATAAAAATACAGGTAATCCTCTACTTGAGCCGTGGGTGGCACAATGGTTAGAATGCAGTACTGCGGGTTACTTCTGCTGAATGCCAGGCAGTTCGGCAGTTCGATCCTGACCAGCTCAAGGTTGACTCAGCCTTCCATCCTTCCAAGGTGGGTAAAATGAGGACCCAGATTGTTGGGGAACAAGAGGCTGACTCTGTAAACCGCTTAGAGAGGGCTGTAAAAGCACTGTGGAGTGGTATATAAGTCTAAGTACTATTGCTCTTCCCTTCCTTCCTTCCTTCCTTCCTTCCTCCTTCCTTCCTTCCTTCCTTCCTCCTTCCTTCCTTCCTTCCTTCCTCCTTCCTTCCCAGTGGTTAGAATACAATATTGCTGGCTAATTTTGCCCACTGCCAGCAGTTCAATCCTAACCGGCTCAAGGTTGACTCAGCCTTCCATCCTTCCAAGGTGGGTAAAATGAGGACCCAGATTGTTGGGGGCAAGAGGCTGACTCTGTAAACTGCTTAGAGAGGGCTGTGAAGCGGTATATAAGACTTAAGTGCTATTCCTATAGCTTGCTACTTACAACAGTCCATTTAGTGACCTTTCAAAGTTAACAGAACTGCGGTGGCACAGTGGTTAGAGTGCAGTATTGCAAGCTACTTCTGCTGACTGCCGGCTGCCTGCAATTTGGCAGTTTGAATCTCAACAGGCTCCAGGTTGACTCAGACTTCCATCCTTCCGAGGTTGGTAAAATGAGGAGTCAGATTGTTTGGGGGCAATAAACTGAGTCTGTAATCTGCTTAGAGAGGGTTGTAAAACACCGTAAAGTGGTATATAATTCTAAGTGCTATTGCTATTGCTAACAACCACACTGAAAGAAGTGATTTATGACCATTTTTTCACACTTATGACCATTGCAGCATATCCATGGTCAAGTTATCAACATTCAGTCGCTTGGCAATATTTACGAAGGTCGCAGTGTCCTGGGGTCATGGATCCTCTTTTGTAACCTTCTGACAAGCAAAGTCAAAGGGAAGCCAGATTTACTTAACAACTATGTTACTAACCTCACAACTGCTGTGATACACTTAACAACTGTGGCAAGAAAGGTCATAAAAAGGGGCAAAACTCAATGTTTTGTTTCACTTAACGTGATAAATTTTGGACTCAATTATGGTCATAGGTCGAGGACTATTTGACCATATCGTACGTATGAACATAATAACACAGCCCATCATATAGGGGTGTTGTATAATTAATGGGAATAATATATGTGAAAGGATAACTTATTTCAATGTCATGTATCTTTAGTCTAGTCTAGTCTTCAACTTTTGCAGGTCTTTTAACCTGATTCTGATATTTGCCCTTTTTCTCTCCCCAAAATGTTTCCTTCCTTCCGTCTCTTTCTTTCTTTTTATCTTTCTTTCTTTCTTTTCTTTCTTTCTTTTCTTTCTTTCTTTCTTTCTTTCTTTCTTTCTTCTTTCTTTCTTTCTTCTTTCTTTTTCTTTTTCTTTCTTTCTTTCTTTCTCTCTCTCTTTTCTTCCTTCCTTCCTTTCTTCTTTCCTTCCTCCCTCCCTCCCTCCTCCCTCCTTTCTTTCTTTCTCTCTTTCTTTCTTTCTTCTTTCTTTCTTCTTCTCTTTCTTTCTTTCTTTCTTTCTTTTTTTCTTTCTTTCTTCTTTCTTTCTTTCTTTCTTTTTCTTTCTTTCTTTCTTTCTCTCTCTTCTTTTCCTCCCTCCCTCCCTCCCTCCCTTCTTTCCTTCCTTCTGGGAGTTGAAGTCCACAAGCCTTAAAGTTGCCAAGGTTGGAGATCCCTGGTCTAGGTTATCCAACAAAGCCCTTAAATGAGCTTGGAGGCCAGGCTGATTGAGTCAAGATAGCCCCACTGTGTAAATAAATCAATGCTATTTCTTCTTAGAGAGAGAAGGAGGATATCGACCTATGAAATCAATGCCTTTCCACCTGGCTTTATAATGCTTGAGGGTTTTTAAAGATGGGTGGACTCCATCTCCCAGAATTCCATTTGGCATCCCATTCTTGTTTGCTGAGGTGAGCTTCAGCTGTGGAAATGCCTGCCTGTCCTCCTGTAATGGCCTACTCCAGTCCAGTTTCTGCAGCTCAAACTTTGTACAAATGATTTATTCATGGGTGCTTTTAGGAGCCTGACCTTTTATATCTATTATATACAAGGAGAGTTTTCTTTAGGTTCACCTGAGTGGTTTTTTTTTTTTAAAAAAAACTTTCTTAGGCCAGGTTCTCACAACTTGCTACCTTAAGGTAAAGGTATAGGTTCCCCTCGCACATATGTGCTAGTCGTTCCTGACTCTAGGGGGCGGTGCTCATCTCCATTTCAAAGCTGAAGAGCCAGCGCTGTCTGAAGACGTCTCTATGGTCATGTGGCCAGAATGACTCAACGCCAAAGGTGCACGGAACGCTGTTAACTTCCCACCAAAGGTGGTCCCTATTTTTCTACTTGCATTTTTTTAACGTGTTTTTGAACTGCTAGGTTGGCAGAAGAACTGCGAGGTTGGCAGCTAATGTTAGTTGAGGGTGTAGGAATTCAGCCGTTAGTTTTGTAAACCACCATTCGTGACTCAATGGGTCATGTAGAAATGCAGAGCTGGACTTCAGGGGAATTCAATGAGAGACAGAAATGGGGAACTTAAATATTTTTTCCTCCTTGCAATGAATAATATATTAAATCTCGTAGGCCTTGGGTGAACAAACAAAATGGCAAGGGCTCAGTTTTGGCACATCTAAGAGAGACGGAAATCAATAGTCCTTAACTGCCAAATCATATTTAAGGGTTTAATTCCATAATTAAAAATATACACACGACCAAACAACCCAGTCCCCCATTGTATAAGGAGCCTCGAAACGCTGGAGCTGAGGATTTCATCCAAGTAATAATTGTGAGGCATGATCAATATACAAAAGGTTATTGTTAGGGAGATATTAAAGTTTACACGGAGGAGCCCTTGTTCTAAATGGCGATTGATGGAATAGCTCCAGCTAGCAGCAGAGGGAGCTAAAGAAATGGAAGTAGAACCAGAGGTTTTGCAAAAGGCACTGAAACATCAGCTAAATCTTTTAAAAAGAAGACGGGAGCAGATCAGGGGGAGAGAGAAAAAGATTGCTCTCAGACGCCCCCAAATCTTTCCCTAATAAGGCAGCTTTTCTCCAGGCCAAAGAGGAAAGAAGGAAGGAAGGAAGAAAGAAAGAAAGAAAAAAAAGCAAAGTGGACAAACATTTGTTTGTTTGGAAATGTCTTTTCCTTCTGGAAACCTGGAGGATGCAGCAAAGCAAAGACCCAAAGACAGCAAAATGAGGAGAGAAGAGCTGGACAATCCACAACCAGAGGGAAAGAGGTTGAAGCTGGGCAACGAAGAGGGACATCTGAAGAAAAAGGAAGGAGCAGAAGAGGACCGGGAGAAGTCTCCACACCTGGGAAGAGAAGAATCTGGAACTCAAACCGATGGGGAAGGCCAAACTGTAAGTAGAGATGTTTTCGTTTGGGGCACAGAGAGCCTTCAGGAGGGGGATTTTCCTCCCCTCCTGTGTGTTGTTTTGAATGGACTTGTTTGGGGGGAAATTGATAAAGTCTTGCAGACACAGGGACCTGTGTTGAGCTCAGTTGTCCGTAGCTGTGAAACATTGAGGAGCTGCTTTGCTCATTTGTAGTAGAAGAGTTTGCAGGTGGTGGCTTGGACTTCTGAAGGTGTTGTTTGCAAAAAAACCAAAAAACAAACCCCAAAGAGTTTTTTCTCCATTCTCTTCCTTTGGCTGCTTTAGAATGAGGCAGGAAAAAAAATATCTCTGTTTGGGTAGGGGTATCTTCATAATTCATTGTCTCTAGGCCCTCTGACTCATTTCAAGCATTTTGAATCCAGCAGCATGACAGAAAGGAGAGCGGCGTGCGTGTCTCATCGGGGGAACTCCCCCCCCCGAAAAATGACTTTGAAAAAAGAGTGGGGGGGAAGTCATTGTGGTGTCGTTGGCTTGGGGGAAAATCGATATTTCTACGACTGAATCGGCTAAGCTCCGGAGTATTTTGGTTCTTGAAATGGCTTAGGTGCATGTCAGGACATGCTGAGGAAGAAAAGCGAACATGAGTCAGAATTTTAAATCCCTTTATCTTCTCCTATTTTTGCACTGCAGCTGGGTTGTTGTTGTTGTTTTTTGTTCATGTTTCTGCCTCTGTTGTTTTCCCATCCACCTAGGTGTGTGAACACAAGGATGATTCCGTGCAGGGGAAAATCAGAGCTGTTTCAGTTAAACTCCGGCTGTAGATAACAAAAGTTTGCCACCCTGTCTTCTTTGGAAGGGGACGGTATTCTTCCACTCCTTATCCCTATCGATGCGTCTCTGTAATGAGAGCTGCCTTGCCAGTTATGGAGTCTGTGGCTGATGCGTGTTTTGGAAACCTGTTAATTTGGAAGCCCGGAGAGAAGGTTTGGGGTTTCATTCATTCTGCAAGGGGATGCTATGGAGTGTGTCTGCTTGACAGAATGCAATTAGTATTTAACACATCGCCACTTTTAGCGTACAACACCAAGCAGCAGTTGTAACACTGCTGCCTCCCCTTATCCTTCTCCCAACCTTGCACTTAGGGTTTGCGTGCGGTCCAAAAAACTCTCTGAATAAACTCTCCGTATTGAATGCTGCACTGATGATCACCAGGGGGCAGGGAATCTTGTGGGGAGCGTTGTTGAGGATTTGAAAGTAAGATGCTTCACCTGTCAAGTTGGATGTGTGATATCATTGGTGTGGCCAGAGAAAACCTTCCATGAATTTTTAAAGGAATGGCTAGAGAAGGTTTCTCTGGGTTGCTATAGGTTGCTTCGTGTTCCCTTTTTTCCAGAGAAAGTGGGTTTTGGGGTAAACATTTATATCTCGCCTTGCCTTGTGGAACTCAACGTGACTTCTATGGAGTTTCTTCTACTTTTGTCCTCAGCTTCATGAGGCAGTCTGAGGAATGAATTCAAAAACATCTAGAGAACTTCTAGAGGGCTGAGGACGACTTGAATCTAAGATTTCCTGATCCTGGTCTAATCACTGTAGTCTTCTTTCTCAACTTGGCTAATGATAGGATGTATGGACTTTATCCCCGAAGATGCTAGATCTAGTGTGCCTATTCATGAGAATTCAGGAATAGAGTTTGTCTCTCTATATCTAGACATTACCTGGTTGGAAAAAGTTGGCCGGTACTACTCTGACTTTAAGTATATTTAGATGGGCAACTTTTATATTAGGAGGGGAGAAATGATATTTTGTCCCAAGACAAAATATGAATTTTCTTGGAGACAGGCAGCTCCTGGGCTGAGCCAATGCCAATGCATCCAGTCCAATGCACTGGAATTCCCAGAACCCTAAATGGGTTGGCTTATGGCTCCCTCCCCCCATGCGTATCTTTAAATTTTATCACTTATTTCTCCTGTCCTTGTGCAGGAAAAGGGCTGATTGCTCTGAAGCTGAGTACAGCGGTACCTTGGTACTCAACTGCTTTGAAATTCATCAAATTTGGTGCTCCATGCAATTCTCATGTCAATGCATTTTGACATGAAAATTTTGTCCCGGTACTCGTCATTGTATTGGCTGCTTTGTGACTCATTTCATGATTCCTTATGGGATTTTTTTTTTTTTGGCTACTCGTTGTTTTTGGTCCTCATTGCACCACCCTGGAACCAATTAACAATGAGGTTGTTTTTAACCATTTGGTCATGTCCGACGCTTGGTGACTTTATAGGTAAACACTCTACCAGGCTACCCTGTCAAGCACACCTTCTTTTAATTGTTGTATGTTCAACTTTGCATCGGATTAATGTTATCAAACCAGTGTGTTTTTTGCCAAGGAACCCACAATCCTCCTCCTCCTTCTCCTGCTTCTCTTGCTTCTCCTGCTTCTGCTTCTGCTTCTGCTTCTGCTTCTGCTTCTCCTCCTCCTCCTCTTCCTCCTCCTGCTCCTCTTCCTCTTCCTCCTCCTTCTGCTTCTGCTTCTGCTTCTCCTCCTCCTGCTTCTGCTTCTGCTTCTTCTTCTCCTCCTCCTCCTCCTCTTCCTCCTCCTGCTTCTGCTTCCTCCCCTCCTCCCCCATTGTAATTTTGGAAAGAGTTTGAAGAGTTTGGAAATAGATTAAAGCCACCCAGAATGAAGCTGTTGATTACAGATAGATTTGTTTATCTATTTATTCATTTATTGGTCCAATCTTGCAAGATTGGATTTCCACTGAAAGAGGAGCGTTCTGATGGTTTCCTAATATTTGTTTATATGCAAGTTGGATAAACAAGCCAAGTTGATCTTATCTCACCAAACCTCTGTGCTAAAAACATGGCATACATTTGAATGGCTATTTTTGAAAAACCCAGCTGTAACTTCACCTTCTTCCTTGCCCTCCCCGTCCAAAAAAAGATTGACACCCAAGAATTATGGTGGCCACCTGCCTCCTTTCCAGAAGATGGTCTTCCATTTGGAAGGAAAGCCAAAACCAATCCAACTGAAAGAAGGGAGGCCTCAGATCTTCTGGTTGGCCATCCCATAAGGGCTGCTGATGGCAGAATGCATTGATCCAGGGCCTTCTCCGCGTGACGTTACAATAATTCTTCCTAAATTAATTAATTGTACCCTTTCAACTATATACAAAGATTGAGATGTCAAAATGTAATAAAATTCTGCTTTTTTTGGGAGGGGGGGAAGAGGAAATACTTTTTGCAATGCATTGATCATCTGATTATATACTATCAAGTTGTTTTGGGTTCCTACGAACCACATAAGACAGAATTTCTCCAAAAATGAACTATGTGTTCTTTCATGTCTCCCATTGGGCACTCATCGACACTGTAATTAAAGTCATCCACCTTAGTGCCGCTCATCCTTTTTTCTCTTCCTTCTACCTTTCTCAGCATCAGAGCTTTCTCCAGAGAGTTGGATCTTCCCATAATTTGTCCCAAGTTCACATAATGAGTCCCAAGTAGGGAAATTTGAGCCTGGTCATTTGTGTCTTGAGTGAGAACTCTGGGTTAATTTCTTTTCGGTGATCCATCCATTTTCTTTCTTTCTTTCTTTCTTTCTTTTCTTTTCTTTCTTTCTTTCTTTCTTTCTTTCGTTTTCTTCCTTCCTTCCTCTTCCTTCCTTTCTTCCTTCCTTCCTCTTTCTTCCTTTCTCTTTTCCTTCCTTCCTTCCTTCATCTTTCTTCCTCTTTCTTTTCTTCTTCCTTCCTTCTTTCCTTTATCACTTTCTTTCTTCTTTCTTTCTTTTTCGTCTTTCCTTCCTCTTCCTTCGTTTCTTTTTCTTTCTTCCTTTGTATTTTCCTTCCTTTCTTCCTTTATCTATCTATCTATCTATCTATCTATCTATCTTTCTTTCTTTCTATCTATCTTTCTTCTTTCTTTCTTTCTTTCTTTCTTTCTTTCTTTCTTTCTTTCTTTCTTTCTTTCTTAATTTTTTATTGTTTTATATCACATTTCTATTTGAACAGTATGTTTTCTAGATGTCCAAAATGTTAACATATAAACATCATCATAATCATTATAATCATGTATATATATATATATATATATATTATATATATATATATATATATATATATATATATATATATAATATATATATATATATATATATATATATTTATTTATTTATTTATTTTCCTTTTTCGTAGGCTTTTATGTGCATATTCTTTCTAGCCAGGTTTTACCTACGTAAACTTAGTTGTTCTACAGCCCTGGTTCTGTGAAATCTCATTCACAAGTTTCTGGGCCTTTTTTCTGCTGACAAACTGCAACTCTGTGTTGCTCTCAAACTTAGAACAACTAAGTTTACGTAGGTAAAACCTGGCTAGAAAGAATATGCACATAAAAGCCTACGAAAAAGGAAAAAAGATACATTATACCTTTACAGGGAGGATATCTGAGAAGTGGGTGTGGCTCACCGAAGACGCCTTAAGAGGCAGAAATAGCTATGAGTCTCCCAGAGAGCAACACAGAGTTGCAGTTTGTCAGCAGAAAAAAGGCCCAGAAACTTGTGAATGAGATTTCACAGAACCTAGGGCTGTAGAACAACTAAGTTTACGTAGGTAAAACCTGGCTAGAAAGAATATGCATATATATATATATATATATATATATATATATATATATATATATATATATATATATATGTATATGTATATGTATATGTATATGTATATGTATATGTATATGTATATGTATATGTATATGTATATGTATATGTATATGTATATGTATTTGTTTTCTCAGGTTTTCGCGGGTGTTTGTATGTAGGTCTTTGGTTATTCGGGTCTTCTCCCACGTAAAATTGGAAGTGTCTTGGCGACGTTTCGACGAAGTCTCATTCGTCATCTTCAGGCTGGTGTTCTCGGCTTTGTGCTTCCAGGAGCAATGTGAGATTGCAGCTGTCTCTTCCTTTTAACTGCTAGTGGGGGTGTGAGCTGATTGGGTAGGAACTTGGCTGTGTTCTGATTGGGTGGAGGTGTGTT